AGTGGGCATGTGCTCAGCGTGTTTACTTGTGGATGCCACTCACATTGCATAGCATAGAGTTAGACTGAATAGATCAGCTCCTATGCATCGGGCCTATTGTCATGATACCCGATCTACAATTTTCTTCAGTATCGGGACTGATACCGCTATCAAATATCGGATCGGTGCATCCCTACAGTCGACTTGGACTTTACAGCTCTACAAGGCATACAGAATGGGTTCTATCAAGTATCATAAATTTTCACTTTATTGTACATAAGGATGTCATAGAATAAGGAAAATAAACGGTAGTGTTTTTCTCTGTTTCATCTCTTGGTAGGACAGGACTTTGACACTGAGCAATTATATGTTTTATCCTGACGGAGGACAAAAAAGGAAGTGGGGAAAAAAAGTTTAATTTCCAGCTCAGCGGGGGCAGCCCAAGTTAATTAAACTCTGCGTCTTGTTAAACACAGTTTTAATAATTTATTCAGCCTATTAGACGGTGAGAAAAAGAAGTAGTGATAGAGAAATGGTTTCTTTCATTTTTGATCATCCGCTGAGTCATTTGTTTTCTTTTTCATTCGTTCATGAGAAAAGCTTGGGAATGTAACAAGGAACGGAAGGAAAGGAAGTTAGTGATTTTCTGGACACACCACCAAATTGGATGCCACTCCAGGGTGGTGCACAATCAAATTTTTTTCTGTTCTTTAGAGGTTGGGAGATTTCAGGGTGGGCTAGCCAGTATTTCATATGCAAATATCCCTTTAATGACAGTGTGACCTGTATGATAGATGCTGCCTGAAGGATTAAATGATCTCTCCTCTCCTCGCTCAGTGAAAGGACAGCCTGTGTGCCTGAATGAATGTGTTTAGTTCACACTTGTTGTATCTGAGAAGTCCATTTTTTTTTCACTCCTAAAATGTCAGAAGTTAGACATCCAACAGCTCCAGCCTTTATAGTCGTTGTGACTCAGCTGCTGACTTCTCTGTCAATCAATACAACCTTTGAAAATGTCACAATCTGTGTGAGTGGTAGTTATGAAAGAGATATATGTCATATTACCCAGGACTGTGTACTTTCACCTCCTTTCACCTCCTGTCTCTCTCTGACAGCAGGTCACTGGTGCTGGAAAATTGAATTTGAGAGTCAGTTTGGGTCAAAGTGTGGGATTTTTTTGATCCCTTCAAAGGAGTTTCTAAAACATGGTGATGACAGCTTGGAGAAATTGGACCTTTGTTTTTGCTTTTAGTCTTTACTATGCCTTTTTTTTCCTGCATCTTACTTAGGAATGCCTTTTTGTTTGGAGTACTAACTAGGGCAAGGCGATAAACCGAAAATTTACTGATAATGAAATTTACACTAACCGACGTGATTTTACCCAATATATTCAGTGTCAAAAAAATAAATTAATAAAATTTGGGTTTGGATGTGTTTGGGTAGGCTATGATCTCATGACCCTTTGAGACACTGTCCTACACCGGAGATGTGACTCCACCCCATCCAGTCCATAACAAAGAGGAAAAGACAGGTGAGGAGATGGAGGACGGTTCAAAAGTTGTAGCGGCTGGAGCGGCGGCTGAAGTAGACAAAGTTAATGTGGGAGGAGGTGAGCAGCTTGTGGAGTAGTTATCGTCCATTTATCGTTATCGAGGTGAACTGCTCAATATATCGTGATATTGATTTGAGGCCATATTGCCCAGCCCTAAAGCATACATCTGTATATAATGTGTGTGTTGGCCTGTGTCCTAACTCAAGCCTTTTTCCTTTCCAGTACCAAGATATGATTAGTATCTAATACTGTGTACCCCTCTGATACTAATTTAATAAGAAAATACATGTAATATTGATGGAAACGGTTGCTTCTTCTTTTTCAAGCTTGGAGTAATAACACGCTCTTTCTAGCACTGTTTTTCTGAATGCTAGTCTTACACAATATGCTATTTGATCAGTGCATTGATGGATTGGTATTGAATAGGTGCAATCAAAGCATGCTGCCAATACTTAGAAAGGTCTGTGAATTACTCTTATTGTAGCCTCGTTTCCTTGAAATGATTCCTCACTGATACAAAGCAACTGTCAACAGAATTAGCTAAAACAGCAAGTACTACTACACCTTTCTTTCTTTTTCTCTTTCTTTCTTTCTTTCTTTCTTTTGTAGATGAGGTGAAGTGTCACTGTAACACTGCAGTAAGAGACAGCAGGATGCATCAAGTAGGGGGCAGAGAGAGAGAGAGAGAGAGAAAGAGAGAGAGAATACCAGACAGTGAAAATGGGGGAAGGGGAAATTGTGCCACAGACAAGTGGTTGCCTCTGCACAGCGGTAGATAAGCCAGGCAATTCTCATGCACCTCCTCGTATCTCCTCTTCAGCTTGATTGTGGAGACAGAATAACCTTCAGTAACACCCAACTTGTCTCCCCTCGTCCCCCATCTCCTTCTTTTTTTGGCCTCCAATTTTGTCCTGAACTGTTATCTTTTTTTCACAAACTGTAAACATAGCTGAACTGAATTCCCCACTTCCTGGTTTTGCCTTCTTCCTTCTATTCTCCAATCAGCATTTTCCATTGTGCTGGAATCACTGTAGACACGTCGGGCTGAATCACAAGTAATATGTGGGGCCATTTTATAGTGGAAACCTCTGGAAGCACTGACTGTGATGGAGGAACTAACGTGGTGGTGATGTTGATGTGACAGAGAGAGGCAGGCATGAGAAGATGAGTTTTTGTCAGTCATTACAGAATCATTTTCACTCATTAGTGTTTCAGCACAGATGCACAGATACTTCAGTAGAGAGAATGAGAGAGACGAACTGAAAAGAGCAAAATATCATTAAATCAAATGTTTGGATGGCTTGGCCTTTTTCAATATGGAATCCAGCTGTCTTGGAATCTTTCATGATCCTTCTCTCCACATTTCACTCTTTCTTTGTCCCTTTCTTCCTTTTATTCTGTTCTTGTTTTTTTTTGTAATACTTTTTATTTTCCTGCAGTTTTAAAACAGATTCACACACATTTAAACATAAACACAAAGAAAGGAGGTACTCTCCTCCTAAAAGTTGTTATTCAGCATTTTAAGCACAGTTGAGGTCACAATCCATCATCTCTTTGTTATGGGATACAACGTTGTTCATAAGTCCCTGCTTTATCCCTGAGGGGATACGTCAACTTTTCTATTGAATGTATCTCGACTGTGCAGCACTTGGAAGATCACTTTTTAAACAGTTTTTCGCGATGGCCTTTCTATTTGACAGTATCAAGATTTTGAGGAGGTAGGTGTCCTTTTTTTAATTTTCTGTCTGTGGTTACCAGGCCCAGAAACACCGTCTGTGTATCCTTTGTGATCTTGTATCTGAAAATGCCTTTTGAAAATCTGTACAACCTTATCCCAGAAAGTTTGCATTTTAACAGAAACCAAAAGATATGAGAGTGGCTGACATTTACATACCTGCACTGTCTCCAACATTGTTGCTGTACTCCTAGCAATTTATTTTGACTCTGTGGTGTAACAAAGAAATGCATCAGATTCTTCCACCCAGATTCCCCTAGCTTGTGGATTTCTGCTGTGTCTAGCTCCGATTTTGACTTTACATAGAGTGAACTATTACCACTTTGTTTATGTAATCCTTTGTTCAACTTTGATACTATCTCTGAAGGTGCTCTTTTATCTGCATCTATAAAGAAATCAATGACCTTATTAACGTCAACTGAAAGGCCTTTCTATTAACTGTGTTTCATAGAAATGTCTCTGCTGTAAGTATCTGAGTAGATCCTCATTATTAAGATTAAATTCTCTGTTTAATCTTTCAAGTGATTGAAATACCTTTCCATCTACATGTGCACATATTACTGTTAGGGTCAAATCAAGAGTTTACTCTCAGTTTATATCTCCACACAAGTTCATGCCCAGTTTTTAATGTCTTTTCTATAATGAAATTATCTCTGTTTTGGTTCCCAGTTCCTTTCCCACCCAGCCTGGTCTGTGGTTCAGACTTCGTCTGATTTTGCTCATCAGTGTATTTCCATCTAGCTTAATGGTCAGAAAAACAAATACATAATGTGTGTCAGCTAAGCAGCACAGTAATATTCTCAGAGTGGAGTCTGAAATGGACTGCTTGTTTCCAAGTGCTGATTTAGGAGATTTTAGATGCACGCCAATATAAATCGATATTTGTTTTTTGGCTGATATCGGACTGATATCCGATATCAATATCGTATCGGGACAGCCCTAATATAATCTTTATATAAATCAATATATCAATAATTTGAGTATCACTCCCAGATACCTGATTGATTTGACTTCCCATTTCATTTCATATTCCGACTTGATCCTCTTACTTAGTTTATAGTTAAGAGCAAGTAACTGTGTTTTTGTAATGTTCACTTTATAACCCGACAATCTACAGTATTTCTCCAAAACTGTCATAAGTTGAGGAAGCGTAAAATGTGGGTTTTGGAGATAACTGATGATATTACATGCCATAAGTCCAATTATATGATTCTCTTTGAATGCATTAATTCTTTTCAGCTCCTTGTTTTGCCTGGGCCAAAGACTCTATAAACATTGCAAAAAGGGAAAAGCTAAGACAGCAGCATGGGTGACAATAATGCATCGCTGTGTCATTCTCCTATTGAGGGTAGGTCTAATAATTGCAAGTACTGTATAATGTTTTCCTCCTGGTCAGTCTCAGGCAGTGAGTTAGGAGTTTTATCGTATTCCCTCAAAGACGGCTTGAATATTTTCGGGTTTATAAACTGTTTTATTAGCTACTGAGTCTCTAATCTTGTGTACAGACCTTTAGACTTGATGTGACCTAAGACATTTTGCTAAACATTTTGGTTTCTCCTCAGATGTGACCCCACTGACAGGTTGGGAGTAAAGCTTCTCATTAAGAGAGGGCCTACAGGTAGGCTAAGCAGTGGAAAAACACCTCCTCATAGTCCAATTTTTGTATATGACGAAGAAACCGCCTCACTTAGGCAACTGAAGGATCAATACAATGCCAGAATCATAATTATCCATTTATTTTAGAGTCTGAGTGTTGAAAGCCATATTTATACTTGACGATTGGGTCCTCACTCGTATTCGTTCGGCGCGTTCCTTTTGAAACTCCTGGAGTTTTTCTTTTGCTCTCCGGACAGCAGCCAACCTTCTCATGTGGGGGTCTGCAACCTGCTGCCATCCCAGCAGCTTGTTGAGCCAGACTCCAGGCTGCTGTGTCCCCCCCTGACACACTGGTTCCTCCACAGGGGAATGTACAGGTCTCAGGCCCCCGCTGTACCTCCTGTGTGCCGGCATATGTTTGAACCCCTTGCTCCAGTGAATCAGCATGCTCATGTATGGTGTTTGAAAGGGAATAACCTTCTCCTTCAGAACTTTTCTTATCTCATTGTATTCTTCATAGGAAAGTCATGACAGTCTTTTTTTCCAATCGTCTTTCAGCACCATATCCTTGGTTGTGAACGCTTGAAAGTTGATAACTAGAGAGAGATCGCCACTGTATTTCCAGCTCCAGATCTTCAGGTATTGGCAGCCCAATACGGCTAAGTCGGCTAAGTTTTTCAATAAATCAAGGTACCAAGTTCCCCTGCTGTCCCACTGCTACTCCAAAGACTCTTATGTTGTTTCTCCTGGACCAGAACTCTTAACTCAGTGTGTTTTTGCATCTGGTCTTTCTGCTGGTCCAGACAAGTGCAGAGCGCATGGGTCACCTCTGCTGCCCATCCTTTCAACCAGGTCTCCACTTCTTCATCTCGGTTTGCCAGATTCTCCTCCTCCATTGCCAGGTTGTCGATTTTGCCCTCCATTTCTTGTCTGAGCTGATTGATTCCCTGTCTCAGATTGTCATTATCCCACTTTAGATCAGCAATGGCAGTGCCGTGGCTAACACCACACCGCCATTACTCGCCTGCTCTGCTTTGGTGTTGTTAGCTTTTGCCACTGATACACGCATTCTTTCTTCCCATTTATGGCGTTTATTAACTCTACTCCCACTCCTCAACCATGTTCACAAACAAATGTCGAGTATTCAAGTTATTTAGCGAGTGTATTGCAATGAGTCAAGGAGGGTGGCTGCGTCAAACTACTCCATAAGCTAAACGGAAGTCCCTGTGTTCTTTTTTTTCCCTGACAGCCTTCGCTTGCCCCCTACTTAACAAGAAGACTCCTGCCAATCACAGTATGTATGGACTACTGCAAGGAGGAAATCTCACGTTCTCAGGTTGTTATTCCTCACTCTTTCTCTACCTCATAGCCTCCCTCCTGTCTTGTGCCAGAGCTCAAATAGTCTGGATCCTACCGCACGTTCTCATCCATATTTTACTGACACCCTGCCATTGTCCACCGCTGTATTTTTCACTGTCCAAATTCCCTCCTTTCAGCCAGGGGACACATTGAGAAGAATGAGGGGAGAGATTACAGAGGCTGTGATGGACAGAGGAGGCTTAAGGGGAAGTACAATGGAAGCTGGAGAGGGGAACAGTGACTGTACAACAGGGGAAGAAGACACACAATGCTAAACCCACATCATTATTTTGAGAGTATGAGATAAGCTCTACCAATGAGCACCTGAGCCCAATTACACAAGAGCCCCCATTTCCTGTTTGCCTTTTAGAGAGAACACACACCCAACTCTGCCTCTCAAGTATTAGAGCAGCTGGGAATAAACACAGAATTAAAACTGAGTTCACTTCACTTGAAGCTGGTTTTTCCTCAACCTCCCAAAACAGTTCACTTTAAATTCACCAATACCTTTTCTGATCTTAAACTTTTTTACTCTGATACCAAATTTGATCCCAAGTGCAAGTGTGATATGGCTTCTCAATTTCCTCCACATTCAGATTTTGTAAACCTCACTGTATCAACAGTTCAAGAAGTTTTGTCAGAGTTGAAATGAGTTCAGAGTGTGCTCAGCAGTCTGTAGAGGCCAGATGAATGCAAATGATAGTAGAAATACATAGTTGTATATTTCAATTTAACTCCTTTCAACTGAAACAGCTTTATAGATCCCTCCAGGGAGAGTTGATTTGGAGCAGCATAAAGACAAGTAAACACAGCAATTTACAGATGCCTATAAAACTGACATAAGACCTGAGCTGTGATATTAGTTTTAAAACCACAACAATACGAAGCAGACTGATGACTTCAAATTAACTAAACAAAACACTTAACGTCAGTCTTAGTAAAGGAGAAAAACTCTAAAGATGTGTAAGACCTAAAGAGTGTTTAGAGATATGATTGCCAAGGGGATGAATGATTTCAATCGTAGTTTTATAAACAGACATAAAAACATCTTGATGGTGGCAGAAAAAATCTTGGACAGAACATGTCAAAGTAAAGTACACATAAAGGATAATGACATTTTCTTTCTTTCACTTGTATTTCACTTTTTTTTCCTCACGACCACATACAAACAAACAAACAAACATTAAGCAAAATGAATAATCAGACGTAGCAAGCAGGCAGTAGGGCTGTGTATACTTTGTACGTACTGTATATATCTCTGGTCAAAGCAAAACAAACAGAACAAAAGGTATCACTTGAACAGAGGAAGGGCATGCCTCACGAAAGTACCAAGCTTATAAATAAGTTTTGTTTTATCTGACTGTAATAACAGGGTTAGTTTAAACATAGACATAAACATACAAAAATAAAACATTTAAAAACAGCTTATTTTGCTGTCAAGTGCGTTTATGAAGACCTTATCAAAACTTCTACTATCAGAGCCTATAGAACTTTTCCTGAAGTCAGTGCATGAGTAAAACAGAATTGAGACAGTCTACTTTCAAGGTCTGAGAAACCAGTTATTTTTGAGATACAAAGTTTTCTTGACCCTGCCTCAATTTGTTTTCTGGTTGAAACTACAGCCTTTAGATTTGGAGGTGCAGCTGCAGTACAAAAACACACAGGAACTCCTACATGTCCACACCAACACTCTCTCCTGTGTAATGAGCAGGAACCTCAGCTGAGCAGCCAGTTGACAAGATAAATGATGCTTGTTTTTATTGTGGAGATGTTTGCTTTTAGTATAACACATGGGGCACAGGGTGCAAGTTCTGTCCTTCCCCCGGTCTTCATCATTAACTCTCACGTTGCACTCATAAAATAAGACAAGTACACACAGGGGCAGGCTGCTGCACACCTCTCCAGGTAAATAAACGACATTTCCTCTTCTGCTCCATGTCTCCCTTACTCACTGTCATTTTGAAAGTACATAAATCCATTAAAGAGGTACAGCAGAGCAAACTTCGGCCCCAAAACACACTTTAATGTTGTCATAGGAATACAGCTGGTTCTGAGGGATTACCTTGAGAGGGAAGCCTTGGGTCAACAAAATACAGACACCTGAGAGTGTACTAACCAGTCATAATCTGCAAAGACATATTAGTCTATAGGGATTTTCAACATTTTTTCAGTGGTTGTGAATACCACCCCCATTGAGTCAGAAGTTATAGTAGAGCAACCAGCATTAGTTAACAAGCACTGAACAGTGTATAATGATCACTTGCCAAGACAGAACCACATCGGCTGTCTTATTCATACTAGTCTGTCAGTGACTCAGGAATACACCAGTTTATGATTTTCTTAGTTTTTGTAAGCTCTTTTTTAAAACCAGCAAAGCCCATCGTACAGAAAATTAGTATAAATAGTCCAGGTACAAAAACCTGCACCTGAACCTGAAGCTGAAACCTGCAACATTTAGCAAAGCTCAAGAAACACACTGAGGGATTCTGCTGGGAGCATGAAAGGGTAACGCTTTATATACCAGGGTACACATTAACCATAAATTAGTTGCCTGTTTGCATGTTGATTAGTCGCAAGTTGGCTCTTGATTAAGTAGTAAACCATTAAGGGATTTACCTCAATAACCGCCTAATTACTGCTTATAATTGCAAAGGAATTTGTTGGACATCAATTTCTCTCTTTATATGCTTTCTGAATAAGGGCTAATAGAGATAGTAGTATCATAAAACAGTCATCCCTCCTTAACCAATTACAAGAGTCGGTGGAGCCCTAATGACTCTAAATGAATTCTTTATAACTTAAAATATGTTCCTCATTCTAAGGTGAGTTCTTGTTCGATACTAATTCACTGTTAGTTTAAAACTCACTCATCCACACAGGTTTTCTTCTCTGTAGTTGCCTTTCTTTTACACTCGGTTGATCTGGTATAGCCCACAACCACTGCCCCTGACAGGCTTGATGAAAGCAATGTAGGTCTGTTGAGACACACAGGCCCTGTTCCCAGTCAATAGAAGAAGAACAAAGTCAGCACAAAAGGAAATATCTCCCTTATTGGTGGTATGAAATTTCTTTATTATTTACAGCTGACATTATTCATTGTTGTTGTGTACATGATCACAAACATATGGAACAATACACTGCCAGCAACAATATTATGAACACCTGGGCAATCTAAGGCATCCCAATGCAACAGATCTACTTTTATGAAATGGTGCAAGTAGGTCTCGCACACTTCTGCAGTCTGTATTACTCACCATCCAGAGTTCTCAGCCTTACTGAAGAACTATCTTCAATGTTCTGAAATCAAACAGAAAACAAGAAAAGTGAAATAGAGGTCAATCTTTCTGGCTCTTATATTTTTTTCTTGCATAATGACACAAACCAAGATATATTTATATATTTTTATTAAACAGACCATGCTAGCTGTGGGAGTCTGAGCTGAAATAAACTCTGTAGCCAGATAATATATGGCACTTTTGGTTTAAAATGATGTTAGAATGAAATGTAGTATTATCAGAATTCACTACATGTCAGTGTAGTGAGCAAGAGTCAAGATGACCAAGGCATTATAGACCCAGACAGCCTATCGGTGTGCTGAACTCCTACATTTTACATCCAAATACATCCAAATGAATGGGCTTCTGAAGTCAAAGTTAAGGACTGAACTGGTACTTTTTAAAGTACGTACTTTCTCTGGCATTAGTGTTTAGCCTGGAGTTTTTTAAAACTGGTAATAAAAAATTTGAAATTCAAAGTAGTGCCTCTTTATGACTCAAAAGCCAGCAAGACTAAAAGCATAAAGGCAGCAAGACTAAAAGCATAAAGACAGACTGTTTCCATTCAGTTATTTTGTTTGTTAGAAACCACCGCACTGGGATGGGGGTTAGATGATATGACTCAGAGCACATTGCAGGAAGAGTTTTCTTTACTTTGGTTGCAGCAGATGCTATATTCGATTGTCTATAGACAGCAGGAAATTTTTAATGATTGGAAAATACCCTGTAAATGTGTGCAGTGCAGTACAAAACCAATAATGAGACAAGACAACACAAACTGAAGATTTCCTATGTTTTAGTTCCTGAACAGAGAGGCACAGCTGACTGGCATTTCCTGTGGATATTGAAATTCATCTCACAATAACAAGTCAAAATAATCATCATGCAGATGCAGTAGTTCTTCTGCCTTAGCATCTCGGTCTGATTGCATTCCATAAAGAAATTATCATAAATGTTCTTCCTTGAGCTGCGTCCCCCCGCTATAGTCCGTAATGGACTGGTCTGAGGTCTCGCTACAAACAAGCAGCTGCTGAAAGAGAGTAGGTGAGTTGTGTTTAGTCTCTTTGCCAAAGAAATTAGGCGAAGCTATAAAGATGTTTGGTGGCTAGTACTATGGCTGGGACCCAATATGTACTGTTGATGAAGTTAGGTGCTGTTCTGAGCATTATTTGTGACTATAGAGTGGCTTTTTGGTTGAGTTTTGTGTGTGGCTCCTCAGAACCCCAAACCCCAAATTTATTTTACGCCAGAATATCCCTTTAATGGAAGATGTAAACATAAGACAAACA